AAATGTACAAATAGGAAACTGTGACGTAAAACGCATAAATCCGAGGTCACCGTAGATGCGATTGTAAGATGGCCACTTCTGTTTTTGCATCTTTTTTCCATATGCGCAAACTGAATGCGCAAGCGTTTATCGATATGCCTAAGTTTAAGGGATAGAGCTGTTTTGTGGGTTCTAAAAATATATTTCAATATTTCAAATGCGACTAACTAGACTAACTAGATATTAAAAAATATGTCCAAATCCAACTTCCCGGTGCAGAACAGTTGGATAATGTATTTTATTTTAAAAACCTTCTCTAGTTTTCTCCATTTTCACAATTGCTGCGGTTCTGGCGAACAAAATAATAATGTAACAAAACTACATCTCACACGCCTGGTAGCAGAAAAAGTAGGGTGTGTTCGAGTGAAGTTATTGCGAGGGCAACTAGACTAAATATTACTGGTGACGCATCTAGGTAGTTCATTGTGACGCACAAAGCAACAATATGACAATCATTAACGTCTTTTTGTTCATGTACAATAACCATTTAACAAAATTGAACAACATAAAAAAAAAAGTAGCCTACAGTTCATGAGTCTTTTGTCATTTACGACGCCATTGTGGGAAAACAAGTAGAACTCTTCTGTCTTCAAAGATATGTTATAAAAGTTGCCCAATTGGATATATTTAGATTTAAATAATTTGTTTAACATTTTATAGCTCTATCTACTTTGATATTTCTTTCTAGCCCACTGGGTCCATGCACAGCAATGTAAAGGTGTACTCGCAAGGGACCTCAATATAAGGGGGCGCATTCACCCAGGGCGCTGCTTTTCCTTTAAATGTTTGTGCATCCATTTCGGACAGAACGCGGCTCGAATTTAGAGGGTGGGGGCATGGGCGCCCGCAGAAAACCTTCTAGGGGGAAGGGATGCAAAAAATCGATTCACTTTCCAGGAGGGGGGCAAAAAAAATGTTAGTAATGTTTTAATATAGTTTTAATTTACTGTAGCGTATTAGTATGGTGAACGAATGGACAGTACATCAGCTTAGTTACTTTCTCTTTATTTTCTCTTTACTTTAATAAATTTTTGATTTGGTCTATTTTTGTCTAATTTTTTTTTAATCCAATCAATCCAGGGGAGGGGGGGGGGGCAAATAAATAATCTTAAATAAAGGATTTAATTTTAATGATTAAATTAATATTATTACTTTTATAAATTCCAAATGAAAACAATAAATGTATCTAATTCATCTTCATTACTAGATTTTTAAAAAAAATGATCTACGAAAATGGCTTAAACTAAAACAGAAAATAGGAAAGAAAAAAATCTACCCGTCCTAAGAGAAATTAAAATAGCAAAAATAAAAAAAAAAACTAAAAAGAATAAAACTATGAATCTATGAAATAACAAGGAGAAAAACAATTTTTAAAAAAATAATTCTCATACTATTATTGTTATCACACCCGGCTCCGAAACCATTTAATCTGTATGGAGCCACTCCGGGTGCGAATAGTCATTTGTAATTAAAGGTATCCGGGTACCTATAGATGCAGCCGAAGAACAATTGCTCACCTCCCACACACACCACCAAAAACAAA